GTGTGAGGTGATGAAAATGTTCTGGAATTGGACTGTGGTGATGCTTATACGACTTTGTGAGTATACTAAAAGCCGCTGCATTGCATACTTCAAAAGAGTAAGTTTTATGTGAATTATATCTCAATTAGAAAAAAAAAAGGAAAAAGCCTAAAGCAGAGAATTCTGGGCAAGGGGCACTTACTTGCATACCCCAGGAGGTCACCAAGGACATCATCAATGGAGTCTGGAACAGGAAGTGTGGTGTCAGGACTTCAGGAGGAAAGAAGGCTGGTCCTTACGGCCTCCTGGCTGGACACCTCGCCCCAGGACCTCAGGTGTGGCTCTGTCTCCACTGGCGACCAGATATTTTCTAACTCTCTGGCAACAAGTCACGGGCCTTATTGAAAATAACTTTCTCAAAGGATGATCGTGAAGATTTTCAGTGGAAGCTGTGTTCTATACGACACCCTGGTCAACAGGCCAGTCTTTCAGACTCTGAACAGAGCCCCGTGTGCTTCTTCAGGAGAATCACCCCAGATTTCTAGGCATGCACAGGCTTCTTTCATACCAATTGCCTCCTTGCACCCCTGCATCTGAGGCCCCCAGAACTGGTCTGGAGGCACATTTCCTTGGCCACTTCCTGATGGGGCACGTGGGGAAACCCAAGTACGAGCATTGAATTAGTTCTCACATCCAGCTAAGCACCTTCACCACTCGCAATCCCAACCGTATACTTCCGGATACAGGGCCCGATGAGAAGGACTTTTTTCCCAAGTCCCATCCTTTGCTTATTTCTGAAAGACTCTGAGGATCCAGTGAGGCAGCATAAGGAGCCCCCTGGAAAGAGCAAAGCTGCCTAGAGAATTGGTGGAACCAGCAAGACACATCAAAAACGTCCGGACATGGACACGTGTAAGTTATTTTTAAACTCAAGGTGGGGGAATTATTTTTGGCTTAACGACGTTCCACCTCTCTACTCACTTTTCAATTCCTTCTTGGTTTTCGGTGCCTAAAATGGGAAAAACAAATCACTTTAAAAAATCAAACAACGAACGTGTTGAAAACGAGAATGCGTAATGAGTTGTTTTGCCTTTTGCCAAGTCACCAGAGGGAAAAGAGCACCAATGGCATTTAGAGACAGAAGTCTTTTATGCTTTCCTAGAGTTTCTGAGAATAGATTCATATTCGGAGCATGGGAACAGCTCCCACTAACCAGCAGTGGATGCCACTGTGGGTTCCCCCCGTGGGCAGAAGTCTCTCCTTTTCCCTAATTTCCAGATGCCACACGCAAATCCTCCCAGCCAGGATATAATGAATTTAGGAACGTTTTCCTCTATTCATGTCCCTGACTCCTCAATACCAGGGACAGACTGATAAATGATTCCAGCTGGACATTCAGACTCAGAAGAAATGTTTGCTCATTGCTTAATAAGAAGGTCGGTATCAGTGCTACTTCCCCTCCCTCCTCTCCAGGGACCACATCTTGGTCCTTGTCACCCCGCCCCCAGAGTACCCCATGCCCCGAGTACTCCGTGCAGTCAAGGTCGTGGGGGTGCGTATTTCCATACGTCTTACTCTGTGTTCTGCCTACCATCTCAAGGCAATGAAGGCTGCTTGCAGCCGCTTCACAGCACTGTCCAACTCATCTGAATTCTGCCCACATCAGGCTCACGCTCCCTAATGAAGAAAATTTAAGTGGTTGCTTAAAAATGATGTAGCTTTAACCATGCTCCAGTCCAAGGCCTGTCAAGGCTTCTCTCACTTTACTAATTCAAGAGGTTGAAACCTATTTCCATAAATTAAAAACTGCTTGTAAGGGGAGCAATTCAGAGAAGCCAAGTGTTCTTGGTAACTTGAGTTTCCCCAGACCTGGAGATCACTCGCATAAAGTTCAGCGCTTCTCATCCCTTACTCTGAAAGAGGACGCAAGAGATGACAGGTACCTATCTCAGAAAGGAGGAGGGGTGCCTGGCACTATGGCCAATACACCTTCCCAGGCAACACATAGGACTACTTTCTAGTCAGCATTTGGCACAAACAGCGAATGTGAGTGCTGGTTATTCCTCGACAGTATTTTCACCGACAGTGGAATTTTTTCCCCTTTCACATTAACTGTAAATCTGACTCACCCCATAATAGAGAACGGTTTTCCTCAGAATTATCACTCCCCCTGCTCCCGACCCCTTCTCTACCTTCTCAGAACCCACCTTTGGCGCGCCTTGGAAGAAAGGCGTTGGAAGGGGCCATCTCTATTCGTCTGGTGTTGGCATGTCCTGTTACTGGCATGCAAAGTTTATCTGGGACCTCATACAGGGGGCCTCTGAGAATGTTTGTGTTTCTCTTTCTCTGTAATGGCAGTTTTCACGACCTAAAAGTGCAAACACTTTTTGTCTCATTACATCCAGGCACTTCCTGTCATCTATCGACCATGTCCCAGCCTCCCAGACCGCGGGAATTTCTAAGAGAGGTTTGCAAAGGCCCCAGGGCCGCAGGTACCATCACGTCGTCGCATCTACTCAGCCAACTCCGTGCCAGTCGTTTTACAATCCCGAGCTTGCCCCTTGGCAAGGGCCCTCCCGAGGCAGCTCCTGGGTCCCGAGACTCCGCGCCCCTCTACGCGTCACCCCCTCCGCGCGCCCAGCCCATCTAGACCTCGAGCGCAGCCTACAACCCTCCCAGCCCCAGAAACCCCCCGAGTTACGCGCCATTCCCTTCGGGAGAGAAGCCGTTGGGACCTGTCCGAACCATAGCCGCCCAGCCGGGCTCCTCTTGAGCCCAGCTCCGCCAGAGCTCCCGCTTCGGAACCGGGAGGACGCCGACTTCTCAGCCGCCCCGCCTCTGAAAGGCGAGCGCGAGCCACCCAGGGAGTTGTAGTCCGCGGCCGGCTCACCTGCCGGAGCCGAGGGGGCAGGGGGCGCCTCGAGGAACTACAGTTCCCAGGGTGCCCCGCCGCGGCCGTTAGTCGGGGCCGGGCCTCTGTTCGCAGCTCCGCCCGTTGCTAGGAGCTGCCTCAACGCCACCTTGGGAAGACCGTCCAGGCTCCAGGCTCCAGGCTCCAAGGCCTGCGGGCCTCTACTTCCTCCCATTCCCTGAAGGCCTGGGCTCCGAGACGGAACATTTGGAAATTCCTCAAAATCCAAGCCCGGTTCTGCGGGCTGACTCGTGGCGGGGTGCAGGGCTTGAGGAATGTGTTACGATTGGAAGGTCGACGTGTGAAACCATAATTATGAATGTATCCCACACTCCTAACTTAGGGAACTGGCTGTGACCTTCCTGTTCAATTAAGAAAACCAAAGATGCAAAGTAGAAATGAAACTCAACGCCGTAACCAATGAAGACACGTAGCACTTTTTGTGTTAATTACAGATTTCATTAAGGGTCTTTCAACTTTACAAAGGAAAACGGGGTTGGTGTTTTGGCTGGCCCGCAGGTCAAGCAGTGCTGGAGAGCTGGTGGGTCACTGCTGTCTACCCATGATCCACAGGCTCGGGACATGTGCACCTCTTTGGAATTCACTCCCGCCACACACACAGGTCCAGCCAGGCATGAGTAAACAATACATGGTAAATGCATCTTGTCAGGTAGGAATTCAAACCACAACAGTAAAATAAAATTTAAAAAAATTGCAAAGTAATTATAGACTACCAAAGAGTCTATCCTTGAACCCATAGCAACTGTAAATAAAATGGTGTTTACAAAGTAATGGTCAGCAGTATGAATATTATGTGGAAGATCACATATTTGTTAGGTAATCAATGAAAACTGTCAACAGTATTGTGGCAACATATTTTGATTCAGGGTTCTTAAAATCACTCCCAATTTTCCACGATCTTCCTGAGATAATGAATGGCCCACTTAAATTTAAGGCAAAATAAACCAAAACCCCGTTATAATCTAGGAATTTGCAGGTCTGCAACAGCTCACATCTGCTAACTCCAACGTTTTCTTCTATGTTTGTTTACTATCATAGACCACAGGAATAGTTACTGAAATTTTTAACTCCACTAACACTTAAAAATGAAAATCATTTTAGTCATTTACATGACTTGGTCTATTCGTCCAAGAATGGAGTAGTAAATAATTAGCTGAAATGATTTCCACATTCCATGAAAAGGATCGACAGCTTTATCAGAGTCAGAAGAATCAATATAAGACTCGATTTCGGGTAGAATCATCAATTTCCTTGGAGAGAAATAATCAATTTCTCTCCAGCTGCAGTAGGAACTATTGCTTGAAGACAACCTATAATCCCAGGCATACCTTCCATATATGTAAAAAGATTTAGCAGGTGTTACAGACCATCTGCATCTATACTCTTCCTAATAAGATGAATGAGAAGAGCTCAGAAAGGGGTAGACGGGCCTGAGCATAAGTCATCTAAAGAATTTCCAATCCCTAGGGGACTCTAGGGTCATGAACTTGAACAGTAATATTTCTCCAGCTGAAACCCTGCAGTGAAGAAAACCAAGAATTAAGATCCAACACGTGAATTTAAGGAACTAGAAAATGCCTCTAGGTATATGTAATCTGAAATTACAAGCAGTGAGTTTGTGAACACAGTTAATGTTTCAATTAAGCGAATGTTCTGCAGATAAGCTGATATTTTATCAGCCTTCGGTTCTAAAGACAAGAACACGAAGGGCCCCAAAGGATTTGGGACAAACTGTTTTGAGGTCACTAACGTTCGAACATATACATATACCTCAGTGACTAGGTTGAAGTTTATCTTTGTACCCTCTGAAAACGGCTCACAAAACCACCCAACGGAACCAAACTTCTCTATGCCAAAACTTAGCTTCTCAGGCAAGCAAACTGGATCTGCTGCTTGCTTTTTTTAGCAGTAAACAAAAATTTCTGAGCACTCACAGCTACTGCGTCAACTACAGTAATTCGGGCGGATTTTAGCACTATCAGCTCAGGCAGGCAGGTCTCACTCCCTCCTAATCCTCTATCGTAAAATTCTTCATAATTTGAACTTATGTTTAATTATGAGGCACACTCTTTTGCTCTTGACAGTACAATTGGTGAGGTTTTACTATCTTTATTCTTTGATTACAGTGAACAAAGTTCAAGACAATACATTCCGATGTTAAAAATAGTATCAAATAGTATCAGATTTAGTTTTTAAATAAAACTCAAAATGCTGAACTGAAGGTGGCTCTGTAGTGTCTACACCTGTTCAAACCTTCTAAGATCCCACCCAGACTTATGCAGCTAGACTAAGTGGGTGTCATTTCAAACACCCTTAGATCCTGATTACAGATATTCATCTGTGAATAAGGTATTTAACCACTAATTTTGAAACAATTCTACACTTAACAGGTCAATATAAGCAATTTAAATTTGTTAGTCCCCAGAAACTGGACTGTCAAGATATACCCAAACGAGATTAACACATAGTGCTTTCTACTTCAATCTGAACACAATTATCAATTAATTCTCCTGGTGGAAAGATTAAGGCTTGTGTCAACAGCCAGTATTTCCGCTGGGCCTAAAATTCTCACATTACTGGGTTCTACTGGGATAGATTTGCTGTCAGGTCGAGACAGGAGTTACATTTCCACTGAATTATACTACATTCTCAAGAATGATTCTAGAACTGGTTTGAGGCAGAGGTCACAAATACAGTTAACAGGTTAAAAATCAAGTGACATGTTGTTTTACACTGATTTTTTTTGAATAAAATTCAATAAGAGGTACACGTTTACTCTTTAAATATACAATGATTGTGTAAATTAGATTTCAGCTGAAAGGACAATTCAGCGATTCAGATAAAGCTCCTAGAAACAGACTGAAAATGAAGCCAGATAAACAATAATAGATCCTATGTCTGCGGTCATGCCACCCTGAACAAGCGCGATCCCGTCTGATCTCAGAAGCTAAGCAGGGTCAGGCCTGGTTAGTACTTGGATGAGAGACCAACTAGGAAGACTAGGTGCTGTAGGCATAAAAAAAAAAAAATAAGGGATTGTAAGCTGACAAGTTCCTTGCAATCTGTGAGGTCCACCAAGGGTGTTGCCTCACCTAAACGAAAAAAAGAAAGAGATCCTATGGAAGTCCCATTTATCCTTTATCCTTCAAAGATTATATTTTCTGATCCAAAAATCAGAACACATGGTTTGTCAAAAGATTTTTCTGTGCTACCCCTGGGTCTAAGAGTTAACCTGAAATATGATTTTACTTTCCTAATGCAAGGTACTGTAACTTCCAAGCATTTTAATGGTTTATGCCAATATAACAGAATATATGAAATCTACCAGTTACTATGGTACCCAAAGTTACCGTAACCGTAACCGAGAGCTTTCCCTATACATATTCTACTAGGAGGGAACTGTGACTCTCTTCTCCTCCGGCATCTCTTTCAGGAGAGGTTAAGGGACAGGGATGGAGGGAGATCAAACACCACTGACTGAGTCCCATTAGCTGCCAAAAGTCCTATGTAGAGATAACTTTGCTACCTACCCCTCCACTAGAAGTTGGGGACACAGGGAGTTGCAGTGCTACTACAGTGACAATTTTAGGATCCTTCGAGTGGAAGATCGATTCCCAGTCACATAGGACAATGACCCTGTAGTAGCTCTGTGCTGAAGAAATCCCTGTGTAGGAAAAATGCTACTATGAACAAACAGAAACATTATGTCAGCAACCAAGGGCAAGCAGGCAGAAGATGAGTTAAGCACAAACTCACACTAAAGTTTCTGATTGGTTTCTTTCCCCCAATCCAGCCTCGGGTCCTGCTTTTAAGCCAAGGCCCATGACAGTAGTGACAGGGACACTAAGCAGGAAAACTTGGAAGGGTTGTACCCTTTTAAAAATACCTTTGCTTAAAAACACATATATCCAGTGATGTGCAATTAAGATGTGAAAATAATTAACTACTCAGTAGTTAAGTTTTACTAATTATCGTAAGTTATGGCCTCCTGGGATCAGCAGCTGTACATATGGAAGTCAGAGTACATTTCTCAAAGCTTTTTCTGAATGCTTAACGGGTCTCTTTCAGTGTTAATTGCACTTAAAAACATGTTTTTTTCATTTAATTTCTGTAAGCTGTTCATTTTTTTATTTATAGATGGGAAAGGGGCCAATTTATCATTTGCTCTATAGCTCTCCGAATTCGATAAAGATTCCGCGTAGATTTGTGTGGCAGGTACCAGGGGAGCAGCAGAGTACAGCTGCTTCCTGGGGCAGAATAAACTCGTCGTGACATTCAGAGTTTGGACTGCAAAGGCTTCAGGTACTTGTAGAAAGATTTATGGACCTGTAGGGAATGGAGAGAGAAGAAATTACTGATAAGGAGCTTGCAATGTAAAAGAGCATACTTTTCAGCAAGAAATTAGCTGGACCTTATTTGGATCATGATCCAAAAGAAATGAGCCAATTGGGGAAATCTGGACACTGGCTAGTTGATGACATCAAAGGATTATTGTTAATTTGTTCTGCTGGGAGAACGGTATTATGGTTGTTTTTAGAGAGTCCTTATCTTTTAAAGATACATATTAAAATATCTATGGATAAAATTATCTGATATCTTGGATTTGTTTCAAAATAATCTTCAAGATGGGGAGGTGGGAGGTCTCATATGAAACCGCTGGCAATAAGTAGACAGACGTGGAGATGCATTATAGTATTCTATTTCCGTATAGGTTTGAAAATTTCCAATTAGTTACTAAATAGTCAAGGAAACTAAAAACCTGCATATTATAAGAATGACTCAGTTCCCTTATGAACCTGTTGCTCAGATAGTGACTGTCTGAAGTGGCCACGTGAACTTTCAAAGTTTTCACAGATGGACCACTCTTAGAGCTTTTTCCCGCCTTAATATTTAAATGAATTTCAAAAGGTAAAAAGACACTTTTTTTTTTTTTTTTTTTTTACCTCTTCTTTGTTTAGTGGGGATTTCTTGGCCCACTCAAACAAGTTCTCATACACATTCCCATCATAGCGGCCAAGTACAGAGCCCAGTGACATATCCTGAAAATCAAACGCATCAACCAAAGCAACAGCATCTGGGCGAATGACGGTCAGTAACTCCTTGATACGCTGGTGTACTTGGGCAATTTGAGAGTCTGTCAGAATGCTCTCCTGAATGAAACAAAACAAGAAAACGACATATATATAGACTGACAGATACTTACATATATATACATGCATATGCAGCTATGAAGTAGACCACAATTACTTTTCTAAAAAAACAAAACAAAAAACCTAAACTTAGAAAATACTGACCTGAAGAAAATCCCCTGCCTTCTGACTGATTCCGTACAGAGAATATAAGAGACATAAATTCCTCAAGACAGCTTGGATGGATTTATCTTGAATTTTGGGGAGTTTTTCTGAAAAGAGCTTAACTGTCACATAGTGGCAATGTGCCTGCATAAGAAGAAAACACCAAAATGTGAGAACCTTTGGAAAAGACTCGGCCTGCAAGGACAGCGAGGAGGGTCTCTGCACTAAGACAATGAGTGAAGGGTGGGGCCTGGGGGAGGGAGAGAGAACTGTCACTGACCTCACTTGCTCGAACAAGGTCGATGGAACTGAGGTTCCAAGCGACCTCCTTACTTTTTCTGTGACTCAGTTCAGCTTGAAGGGTTTTCGCAGCAATTTCTACTAATCTGTTCAGAAATGAAGGAAAACTGAGGCTTGGAGGAAACGATCAACAGCGCCCGCTCCTTCCTTCTCCCCAGAGGCCCCCACGGCTGCCTGTCCTAGCCCCTGAGGGGCCAGCTCACCTGGCTGCTCGGAGTTTATACGCTTCCGTCAGGCTGTCGGGGCTGCTGATATCCAGCACAGCCGGCCAGACCGCCACCTGCTGTGGCTGGATGCGCTGACTGGGTAGGTCGTTCAAGTAGGACACCAGGCCGCACAGCAGCTTTCCTGAGCGCACCTGGTCATAGCTTTTCATCAGGAACCTGAAAATCATCAGCACGCGAGCTTTCAGGGACCGTGCTTCTTGTGAGACAGAAATAAACGAACCCTTGAAAGGACGTTAAGCTATGTGACAGGTGATTCATACTTGCTAGCCTGACACCAAGATAAAAACAGTGGGTCGGGATAGAAGACAAAATGATTTCTTTTGGGAACAAATATAACATGAAGAGAAAACAAGGGAATGGGAACGGACACGAAGGACGCAGACTCTTATTAGCGGACCAGGGTAATCACGATTTAAGATTCTCACCTAGCCGTCTGCAGCATCATGACAGTGTTTTCTCCCTCGAAGGTGCAGGTTGGGGTAAAAGTGACGTAAATACTGGGGAGACCGCTGCAGTGAGAAAAGCCGTGGCCGCCACAAGCCATCCGACAAGCTTCAATAGCACTGCTCGCCGTCCAGGTGGTGTACGCCTTCAGCCCGGCAGTGAGCGCGTGAAGCTGAAGGGGGGACAGCACAGGCCATCAGGACCTCTGTGGCGCTGACAGTCCGACTTCTGATGAGAAGTGCATATCCTCGTCCACCGGTACTAGTCACTTTCAAAACCACTTGCCACGCACGTAACTGAAGCAGCCGTAACTGAAGCAGCGTGGTCACTTGACTGGCCTGAATTAATAACACTCCCACACACCCTTCTGAACCGTTCTACTGGACAGGAAGTCACCGCTCATGTTCCTTTGATTAACAAATGACCACCACTCATGTTCCTTTGATTAACAAATGACCACCACTCAATCCTTTGATTAACAAATTGCTACAGCACTTCTGAAACTTAAAGAAAAAAACTCATGTTATCTTCGTACCTACTCCACTTTCGATCAGAAAAATTTCTGTTATCTTTTGAGACATATGGACTCCCAAGAAATCCCAATGTGTAGTTTCCTCTGGACATTATTCAACAGGCAAATATGAAAGAGAAAAGTGCTCGCCAGTGAATGAGATTAAACACATACCTCGGGCAACTCACTCAGGTCCCCTTGGCCAATGTCCTCATTAACCCGATGATAGGTCTCCTTAATGTATGCGCCCACAAAATGGAAGGCATAGGCAGTGGCCAGGAGTGGAAAGAGTTTATATTGTTGGGTCTGAAAATCCAAAATCTGTGGTTCTGGTTCACTAACGTATACAGAAAAAGAAAAAACAAATGAAACACTTAAACAGAACTCACCGTGTGCCAGGTTCTAGTCTAAGCATTTTGCTATATTAACTTTATTTAACTCTCATAAAGGCCCTGTGAGGTTAACACTTATTATCTCCGTTTCACAGATGGAAAAAATGAGAACCGGCCTGCAGTCACACAGCTAACAAGTGGCAGATCCTCAATTAAAACTGAGGCTATTTGGCTATAGGATATATGAGCTCTTAACTGCCGTAAGCTGCCTTAGGTAAACAGAATTTTCTAGCTGTGAAGTTCATATCTTTCTTAGTCTTTTCGGTATGACTAAGGAAACTACATCTTATGGCAACATACAAAATCAAAGTTAGCTAACTTCACTGGAGGAAGGCAATGTTAAAGAGCTCTAACCCGCGAGATGGCTGAACAGACTATATTTTGGCTACAGTTTTGGAGAAGACCTAACATACAGTTAAACAGTTAAAGTCTAAGGCAGTCTGCTCTTAGTAATTTCTTTACTCTTTCTCTAAGGGGAAAAGGTTATCAGGGAGTCTCGCCCAAGGGAAGGTGGAAGTAGGAATAAACCCTGGGCACGAACGCTACAGGGAATCGAGTTTGTTGTAGCTCTCACCGTATCCAGTTTGTAGCTGTTGGTAGCAATTAGAATTTTCACATTGCCTTCACCATTTTGAACATTTCCTAGAGCTCAAGTAACGAGTACTGTTTTCCTGAGAAGGTTAAAGATAATAATAAGATGGTAGTCTCATTTTTCTCCTAAGAAAAGGAAGTCTAGGTTCTGAGTACCAGACCCAGTACACTGGCATCTTAGTTAATTTTTCGGCCACTGCATCTTCTCTGGACCGCATCAGGGAATTCTGATATTTGAACGGGCTCAAAGCCAGGTCTTCAGGACGAGGATATCTCAGACTCCACCCTTACCCTGGCTCGATTTCAGACTGGTGCCTCACGGCGCTGTACCGGATGGCAATGGTGCACGCCTTCGATAGGCACTGAGCGGCATCTTTCACAAGGAGGGACCTGACAAACACCATGGTCCCGTAGGTCAGCTTGTTACTCACGGGTTTCACGTACGTGCCGTCGGGCTTCACCTGGAGAAGGAACATGGGACTCAGGCTTCCTTCTGTTAATCCCAAGAGGCAGTTTAGGCCAGTGGTTCTCGAATGCGGTCCCCAGAACGGTAGCATCGGCATCGCTTGGGAACTCGTTTGAAATATAGTAACTGTCCCCACCCTGACCTATTATTAAATCAGAAACTCTAGGGGCCAAGTAATCTGGGTTTTAGCCAGCCCTCCAGCTGATTCTAACGCATCCTACAGTCTGAGACCCACTGGTTTAGCAAACCAGAATATGCTCTTTATATCTGCCAATGGCTTTTGATTTTACTGTTCTAATAAAAGAAGCATCAGAAATAAAACTGTGTTATCACCTTCTAACCCTGTGGTTATCAAAAGCCACTGCAAGCTCTGCATTTGACACCTCTGCTCCTGTTTTCTGTCTAAGTGTACCTGGGCGTACTTCATCAGCATGTTTTCTCTGGGAATACGGTAACTGTCCATCTTCAGGTAACCATTATCCACCTCATCATAGCCAAATTTGGGGCCAATGTCACCAACGGTAATACCTACCACAGATGAAAGGAAAGTCACCAGATGTTTACGCTCTGGAACCCCTGGCTTTCCCCCACTCCTCTTTACATGTGTATTATACTTGTTACAGGAAAAAGCACTCGGTTTAAGTTTTCACCTCAACAGCAGATGAATAATTCTAACCTGGCAAAGGCTTGTGGGTTCCCATCTCACGAATGGGTACAATGAAGGCGTGTAATCCATAGCACTTCCCCTTAGTGTAGAGCTGGGCAAGCACTATCGCATAATTTGAAGTCTTTCCAACTGTGACATCAAACGGAACAAGAGAGGGAGTGAGCAACCATTCTTACAATTTCAAAGAACAGAAAGAAAAAAGCGGGGAAAAGCTTACGTCAAATGGAACGCTAGACTCTGTCAGTAACCTGGCCAACTGTGCCCGGGAGCCTTTCCTATGAGTGTCGCACACAGTTTTCAGGAGGAAATCTACTTAAGCCGATAGTTATTACAATTTATTGAATTCTGGCAAAGCAATCGTCCATTTTATTTTTTATATATGAGAACTTTTTACTGAGATATAATTGACACATAATACTGAGTCAGTTTAACGTGTACAATATGTTGATCTGATAGCCACTCTTCATTTTAAAAGATAGTTTTACTTTATTTTCCACTCATTTTCATAAAGAAAATTTAGTATAACTATCAACATATTTATTTAAATTACTTCCTTTTTCTCCCTTAAGGCAGTGCTTTCCAAAAACACTGGCCACTAGCCACTAGCCACTGGCCACACGTGGCTATTTGCATTTAAATAATTATAACTGAATAAAAGATTCAGTTTCCCGGTCAACTAGCTACATTTCAAAGGCTCCGTAGGTATATGTGGCTTGTGGCTACTATACAGAACAGCAAAGATAAAGAATATTTCCATCACTGCAGAAAGTTGTACAGGAGAGAGCTGCTTTAAGACATTTTTGGTTAGTATATCCAGAAGTACTTACCTTCTTTTGCGTGACAGTTTTTTTCTTATGAAAATGTAGTGTCACATATTAAAATACATAATATAAATGAGAAAATTCTTCAACCACTAACACTATCTGAAATACACATCCTAAGGCAATGACTCAGAATAGGTGATATTACATAAGTTTCACGTCAAAGTCTATTTATAATAAAGATTTGGAAATCAGTCGAATGCTTTTCGGTACAGAAATGACTAATGGAACAGGGAATATGAAGTTATTTTAAAAGACAACTGTGGAAACGAAGCTAATACATGGAAACGTTTCAGATGAAAAACCAAGAAAAGAAGAGTAAAAGACAGCTGTCCTCTCTGTGCTTTGTAAAAGGTATAAATACCTGTAACACGTTTAAGCCTTAAGAATTTTTTCTCTATTTCGAAATTATATTCTCATATAAGCTCTACATTCGAAACATAATCTTATGATAAATCTTGAAAACATCCAACAACTGTTCAAAGTTCACTTACGCCCACCAGGCCACCACTTGATGGAGGTCACGGTAGGACTATTGAGAACGAACTCCTGGGTTTCGGGGTCGTAAGTGGCTGTGGTTTCCAAGCCTCGAAGATGAGTTCCTAAGGAAATCACAGTTACAGTTACTTCAGACAAAATATGCGGAAAAACCGAAACGTGGTGAAATCTCCCGCCCAGTCCGTTAAGCTCTAATATCTTGGAGAACAGTAAAATCTAACGACAGCAAAACGTGTAGATGAGCTACGAACGGTTGATGACCAAGATACACAATTTTCTATACGCAAATTAGATAGTTCCAATAAATTGAAAATAGAAATGTCAAGCGTGTTCCATGTCTATACTCGGTTTAGTGCACCTTTATGGCAGTGGATATGGAAGTTATTTAGATAAACCCAAGACAATGTAAAGGCAGCTTAGAATTACAGTTTCCTAAGATCCTAGGATATGAATTTCACAGGGACGTCGACTGCCCTTTAAACCCATCTCTAAGTGGTGAGAATGCCAATTTCAACTCACAGGTATCATGTCTACCACACCAACCATGAAGAATCAGCTAACATGTGACAGGAAGCGACTCTAGTTAAAGTTCTTGTAAACTGAGAATTTATTTCAGAATGACTGCTTAAGTAGAGAATAAGAACTTAAAAAGGTATAACCATCATGAGCAAAAGACCTAGAACAGTGACTTTTTCAAGTCGAGTGTGCCCTGCAGATCTCCAACGCCAGGCCTTAACTTTGTCCTGGCTGGCATACTCGTGTGACAGGAAGAGTTCCCAGTTTCATATGTTTACTGGAGCAGGATGGGGATTTGTGTTTTAAATTTTCATACAAATGTGCCAAAATTCTTTGAAAAGAGTTACAGAAAAATGTTCTAAGTGACGTCCTCAATGTTATCCTAGAGCCAACGCTGAGAACTGTTACCCAGCTGCTTTGATGATGCTAGATCTCATTAAACACTCAACACTCTGCAACGTTCAGAAACTTCCAGGCTGAACAGTGGACATGGCCAGTGCACGTGTGATCCGCAAGCTTTCTGAGTGGAAACCAAGGAACTAGACACAGACGATTAGACTCCTTTCCCCAAAGAAGCTGTTTTAGAAAACGAGGTAACCATAAACAGAACAGATAATGACAAAATGTTTTCAAATGCACAGCTGAACCAAACAGTATTCCACTTTGAGTCTTTTGAAGATCCTAAAAAAACACTATTTGGTGCCAAAGCTGAAAGCCAAAGCAACTATAAAACGAAGATGAAGTTGCAAAGAAATAAGGAGCAAATGGTAAATACACATCTGACCAGGTTCTGAAACCGCTGAGTAGAAGAGAAGCCAGAAGCGAATGAATGACAAACACATATGAGTTCAAAACAGAAGGAAAAAAGCAGGTGAAAGATGGAAAGAAAAAAAGGTGGTAAATAGTGTGAAACCAAACACCCAGTTCAGCTTATCTTATCTTTTCTAAACACTGACCGAGTCACCTTCAGAATTTTATTGAATTCACTGAATCGAGGCACACATAACTTCAAGGTACAAAATGCTACACCTTTTGGTTACGTAAGCCACTCATGTCCCGTCAGGAAGTCAAGGAGCACACACAATCATTCTGCATTTCTTCTGGAATCTGCGTGAGTTTGTGAATGTGTCAGTAAGAATAATCAGACCGTAACGAAGAAAGGTGGGTTCGGATTCCACACACACACAAATTCTACAGCACTCCAGTGAACTTGACAACCCCCTTAGTAAATAAGGCCTGATGCGTAATTTTTGAACTTCTGGAGAACCATGAAAAAAAAAGTCAGCCTATCTCTGTGATAACTTAACCTTTAATTTCCACTGTACAAAACAATGTCTTTGCCAAGATGTGTCTGTGTGAAAAGCCTGGCGTCTGCACAGCGATCGCATTTCGACCGCAGATGCCTTCGCTAACCTGTGCCGGGCACTTCACACAGGCCAAGCTCACAGAGCCCCGCTCAACCCAGAAGGTAGACTGAACGCACCGTACCATGACCCATCTCTGTCTGTGCATAAGTGCCAATGATCTCCAAGCTCCAGGCGGGCATGAAGAAGCGCTCCTGCTGCTCCGCAGTGGCCTGGTGAAGTAAGGTGGGTAGGAACATGCCTAAGTGAAGATCCAGAGGCGAAGGCCCGACTCGGTACAGAATGCTTCAAAGGAACGCCAAGGGTGGGCATTGGAGAGAGGAGTCATCAGGTGTGAGCGAATCAACAATGAGAACAGATAAAGCAGGAGAGGGAGAAAAAAAAAACAAACCTTCCGTAAATATGAGTAAGCTGGGCAGGCTTTACAGCGGATGGGAGCACTGCCTCCTTCTGCATTACTTTGTTAACTCTTGGCAATTTCCATTCTCCTTAAGTTGGTGACAAGTGTTTTCTGGTACTGCTCGTCTTTAAAATCATTCGGTTGGGCAGGACTGGCTGCTGATTGCCAAGCTCGTACAGCACAAAACCACGTGAGCGAGGCAGGATTCCAGCCCTGCCATTAAATCAAGGGGAATGAAACACTTGCAGAGGTCGTCTGCAATGCAGACTTGAAGTTGGACAATGATTTACTCTGATGAGAAAGTTGAGACCAAACATACTAGTTCTCTTCGAGGAAAGTTTTTCCTAGATGCAATTTCGATAATGCTGGAATCTTTTGTTTGTCCACAAAACATTCAGCATTGATCCACATTTGTCACCTGACTGGTTATTTCATTCAGGTTCATCATGAACATCCAGCCATGTGCTGCTGAGACAATTTAATGCAAAAAGTGACAGTGCTCTTCATCTCTAAATCACAGAAATTAAAAGACATGCAATATCTCGTGAAAACCATAATTACAAATAACAGATTCATGCGCAACAGACTCTACTGTGATTATATAAGAGTTGTCACTAATGACAATAAACACCTTGGTACATTTTAAATCCACTTTCTAAAGTCATCCTTTTCTAAATTTAATCGATTCTACATTGCTCTTCTTATTCTCTTTAGCTTAGAAATAATCCTAAACGACATTTCAGTTTTAAGATCTCTCGGTTTGGGGCGGAGGGGGAGATCTCTTGGTTTGTTGCATAAAAGGTGAAGGAGAAGACACCCAGGGCACCCTATCCAGACAAGGACTGACCGGTTACATCTTCCAATAGGATGGCCCTTGCTTGCTCTCAGCTAACTGATCACATAAAAATCAAAGAATGTTGTGACTGACTTCCTCGTTTTACAAAGAAATTAACGCTGATATGAATTAAATGCCTTCAGGACAAAAAGACAATGGCAAAACAAGGACAGGAATCTTATCACCCAATCGTATCTTCTAGTCTAGGGCTACCAGGCTGAGGACAATGATGAGGACCCCAGAAAGAGGTGCCCAAACCAGAGCAACTCTCAAGCCCTAAGATGTCTCCACTAGTGGAAACTGGGTGAAGAAGGGTCCACAGGACCGCTACGACTCTATAATCATTTCAAAATAAAGTTAAAAAGATAGTGGAAATTTGGAAGAACACATCCATGGGATGACAGTGACTTTCACTCACAAAAAGAAACGCCAACTGTCCCATTTTTAAAAGAATGGCTCTTAGAGAGAAAAATAAATGTATGCTTAGGACCTGAAAAGAGAAAACTCTTTGAACGAGGACTGAAAACTATGGCCTGGAACCAGCCACTTTTAGGGCTGAAAGGCTGTTGTGCATCACTAGAAACCAAAGCAGTTCCCGCTGAAGGAAGGGCCGCTCTGCAGCACCATGGGACACATGGGAGGAGGTTTGCATCGGTGCGTATCATGAACTGTTATGGGATAATACCCAATACCAAGGGTTACCACAAAGTACACTTAGCAGGGTAGGTGTTAAACGACTATGGTCAGAAACTGTTTTGAGGCTGAAGAATGTTTTCAAGAGGAAAATGTCTGTGTCTAAGACTGTTCAGAAGTGGATGGAATTTAGAAATGTTATAGAGAAAGCGACCTAGACAACTATTTGACTTAAATAAAGTATTTGTTGTAAAAAGTTCGCTGCGCATGATAACGATATATTATTTTAAAATAACAAAGCACCAACATTTTACTTGGTGAAGCACTAGAGTAAATTATTTTAAAACCATAATACCAAAAGGCTTTGCCAGTCTTTCCTTCTGTGTGACTTCTGGCTGGAAAGGCTGGCAGTGAATACTGAGAACAAAATGATTAGATTAATAATATGTGAGAGGAAAAAATCAAAATAGCATTTCCATGAATAGCATGATTTGAATCCTAGGAAATCAACACAATTCCATCAATAATAAATGATTTTAGAAAAGCGGTAGGTTATAAGGGAAAAAAATCACTGCATTCTCATCGATTAGGAGTATTTGAATAGAAACCCCACTAGACGGATTTACAAAAGGAACACAATATTTAAAATTTAAGTAACTTAGGCTCAGAAAAATGGAGATTTAATTAGGAAAAAATATAAACATTAATAGGATGAATAAAAGAAAATAGGAATAAGAGATAAGAAATTGCTAATTCTTGGCTGTAAGGACTAAATAAAGTTAACATTTCCCAAGAAAATAAAAGGGTTTAATGTAACAAATTTTAAAATCCTGTAGAATATATTTTAGAATTTGACAAATTGAGATCAGAATTCCTCTAGAAGAACATGTATATCTTGAAAGGTAACAATAGCAGGCTTACCCTATTGGATTTTTAAATATCTTACAAAGTAACAATGAGCCAGAGTTTAGGATATTCGGGGAAAAAAACAAAGAAATCAATATATTTAAGGTTCTAGAAGTAAACTGAAACTATTGTAAAACTCTAAGATGAACCAGAAAGAACATAACAATGGAAAAAGAGCAAACAGTTAATAAACGTAATAACACTGTGTGAGAGTCATTCCTCACTCTATAACATACAAGTCAAAGCATTAAATATAAATCAAACAAAAAAACTGGAGGAAAATATAAGAAAATGTATACCTACTCAGAGAAGGAGGCATTGTACACACGAGGCCAAAACGTTTAACAAAACAGAAGGCAATAGAAAAAATATTGGAAGGATACGATAAAATCATATAAAATCAATATGCATATCCATTGAATCAATCCTCAAAGGAGAAAGTCCCAGTTTATACATGGGAAACGCAGACAGTAAGCCAAAATACGTAATAATGCCAGGCTCGCTAGCATTGGAAAATTAAAACTTTAAGTCTTAGATATACATTAATATAGCAAAACACAATTGAAGTAACCATGCTGATAGGGTTATGGAGACACAAGTATGCTAATAAGTTGCTAAACATATTGTAAACTGGTTCTATGTTTCAGGAAAAGTCTTTATGCAATAAAAGCTATAACACGTTCGTTCACTTATTTCTGAGAAAGATATTCTAAAGGCATAACCCCAAAGAACATAGTTTTTGTCAAGAAGTTGATACTGTTATTTAGAAGAGTGGGGAAATTAGAATAGTCCAAATAATTCTAGACAGCAAGTCTCACGGGAAGTCCAACAGGGAAGAGGCTCACTTAGGAAAAAGGACAGGGGACCGTCGGAGAGACAGAGTAGTGAGGATACAGGGGAGAGAGATTAGTGACTTACAAAATCAAGTTTATTATTTATTTTTCAAGTTTCAAAGGAAGAAAGGTGCTTTATTTCATATTTGAGTATCAGTGATGGAATATGCAAAGATACTGCTCCATCTTTAAGGATGATAACTATGTATTATAGAAGCTCTATAACGATAATAGAAAACACCACGCAAGAAGAATCCCTAGGAAGGAACCAGAACTTGATCAAATATCTGTGAAGACCGTACATACGACCTGCTCTGCGACCCGGAGAAATGTCTGGTCAGAGTGATTAATGCTAGATTGTCCCACCAGTGCTAGAATCCCAGGGAGAGGGTGCCCTTCTCAGCCAGAGCTCTGCCTTTGATCAAGGATCACAGACCCACAGACCAAATGTGTGTCAGGACTGGTGTGCCTATATAGAGGTGCATATTTAGGAGGAAAGACACATTCTAGAAGGAAGAGAGAAAACTGATGACCAAGACTTTCTGCAGGTGACCGAATTTTAAGATTCCTGAGGATCCTGGAATGCGCCTGAGCAACACTCTGTCTCTTCGCTTCTCTGCGGCTATGTAGAGGTAAAAGAATCCCAAACTCCAAGTGACAGCCAATTCTGGGAGAACACTTTAAATAATCATTGTCGGCCAATATTCCAAAGTCTCAGAATTTAAAGAGTCAAAGAAATCTTCATCTTCTACAAGTTGCTCTACTGCTAATTTCTTTGATGTTTAAGGACTTTTATGTATTTGATATAAGGTCCTATACTGTCACACGATGCAAATTAACTAATAAACTGGCTTCCCTGGGAAAAAAAGACAGAGTCGATGAAGCACAACTAACACCAATGTGAACTAACAAATTCCAGAAAGAAACAAGACCTAAAGTACACTATAGAGATTAAGACAAAGTTGGTTCAAATATCAAGAAAATATCGGAAAACTAGAAGCAATAGCAAAAGAAAACTAACAAGTGCAAACTCGCCCAGAGCAACGCAGGACCTCAGTCCAATTTCTGGGCTCCTCAAACCAGTAAAGTTCAAGTCTTCCTTTCTTCCTCTCTTCCTTCAAAATTTAGGCTAAATATATATTTGAAATGTATTTTATAAACAGAAGTAGAAGGATCAGACCAGCTAAAGAAATACATCAGACCCAATCAGACTCAGAACAGACCACGTCCTATGCCTCCTATGAACGGCATGACTAGTAATACATCCTACAATGATAAACAACGGAAGAAAAAAAAGGGTTCTGTACCACAAACCGATTCTGAGATTATGACAGACACAGACACGGACACGGACACGGACACGGACACACACACACACACACACACACACACACAGCCCAACCTCCAAGACAGAAAGACTGTATGAATGTTATCTTCCTTTCCTAGGACACCTTTCTTCAGGCTTGGCCATGCTGAAGCTAGAGTCTTGGGTGTTTGACAAGGTGTTCGCGACACACCACCACCAGAATCTGCAGGCCCCACGGAGGTTAACGATAAAAAACATTTTCTTAAACCAATTCACAAATCAAAATGCACCAGATCAAACACAAAAATG